TATATATACTCTACATCTGGCCTCTTTGATCAAGTATGAAGTGATTTGGTTAGTTAAGGTCATATGTCAATTTCGATGCATGTGAGTGTGTCTGTCTGTATGTGTATGTGCATGCTTGTGTGATGTAGAGTATATATACGACTTTTTATTGATTTGCCGGTAAGTTATCTTGACTCGTTAGTTTAATTTTTGTTGTGATGATGTTACCTCGCTCTGATGGTGTCCGTCATATGACGGACGAAAGCTTAGCACCTTTTCACCGGAATCGAAGGAGATTGCCTCGGAAAGAGCGTCAGCATAAATCTTCCAGTAAAGCCAACTGACAGCTGGTAAAGAGTAATCCCCTGTTGTCTTCTGGTTGAACCGACCTTCAAATCTCTTTACCCAACATTTTCACTCGAAATGGAAGTAAGCTCAACAATTATGAAACAAGATATTCCTCGAAACCCAACTTTTCTTCGCATATAGGAGCTTGTTTAGCCCTTATTTAGCTAATAACTACATGGCCCAATTGGAGGCTCCTGTGCCTCAAGAAACACTCCTAGATCCCAAGTCATTAGCTCGTTGTACGGACGATTACTTTGCTTTTTGGCAACACGGCAAAGCTAGAAGTTGTTTGATCTTGATTTTGCAACTTGGTCACATTGGTAGGAAGACTTAGAGGAACGTAACTAGTCTGGAGTCCATTGTATGCATGATTATTTTCAAGGTTGGACCGTGGACGTCGATTGGCCGAATGCCCAATCAGAAGTAATCCCAGCCTGGTTCCACATCTGTCCGGAGAGCTGTATAGACGTATCTTTTAAGATCTTGCTCGATTCGGCCGCTGTACCGGTTCATCACCCGGACCTGGTCATCACGACGATGAGCCAATATATTGGCGGAGCCTCAGACCCTATGTGGGCTGTCGATTAAATCGTCGTCCCTGGGGCTTTTTGTTTGTGGGCAATTTGAGCAGTTGCTTTTTCATTCATCATCTCATTCTAGCGTCCCTTTCCGGCCCTCCAATACGCTGAGGGGGTTTCGTCGAGTCTGCCGATCTGCATTGGATTCTGATTGACTTTATGCTGCCTGTTCTGATGTCTGTTCTGATCTCATGTTGGGGCTTGCATCACACTTTGTGACCGATCACGAAATTGTTGTGAGACAAGACTGCTTCCAACATATTCTTCTGGAGACAGGAAGAGGTGAATCACTTTTTCTTTAGTTGACATCTCGTTTGCATTCTCCTGTTGGTTTAATGTTATTCCATGCTAAGCATCGAGCCAGTCACGCTTTACCCACCCAAATGTTCACGGGCATCCAGCATTTTTTCGAGTAGAAAAGCCTGAAAAGCCAGACTGCTAAATAGCAGTGGGCTTCTAAGAATCTCTTAGTGAGTTAGTTTGACTCAACTTTCCACTTTGAAGTTGAGGTTGGCTTGGAAGGATTCGCGAATTGGTCGCACCGGAAACGGATGGAGAACAGGTTGCCGTGATGGGAAGACGGTTGGATTGTGCCAATACGTCCTCGGCTCACTGTTCTGCGACCCCGATGAATCCGTGCCATGCTTTCATCTGTCCCACCTTAACAGGCATCGTCAGGACCAGAAGCCATAAGTGGACAAATGTACTAAAACAAAAGAGGATAGATTTAGTAAAGTATTGTTTGTCGCTCTGACGACGTCTGCCACGGCGGGACAGACGGTGGAACCAATTAATGAATTCCCTCCAAGCAACCTTTCCTTCGATGTGGAAACTTCAGTCCCTCCGGTCCGTTTTAGGTTCCGACCACGGAGCTGCATAAAAATTATACGCAACAGATGCTCCATTAGGAAGACTGTTCTCTGCGCTGTCTTGTTCTAAAATCCCGAAGGTCCGATCTGAGCTCCTGTTTGATCGAGCCACAATTCTATTTCAACCAGCGTCCAAGTGCTGCTATGCCTTTGGTGAAATTTGAAGATGATATTCGAGATCGCGAAATACTTTCCACTTTCCATTTCAAGCAGACGGGGATCAGTTTCCTCACTCTTTCCCGCGCCACGCTTTCCGTGCAGACGTCGTCAGGATTCACGGTCGGACTGGACCAAAGATGCAGGAAACGATGAGCATTGTGATGCGATCTCAATTTACCGGCATGTTCCTTTTTCATAAGGCTCGATGCTATTTGGCCTGATCTGCATTTAGACTTGCCTGGAGCTAGTGCAAACTGGGTAAGTGACGACTCCGGTTTGCAGGATGTACGTCTGAGCATCAGCTTCCCTTCGATTGGACAACTTATCACTACCCCAAACTATACTCCCTTAACTGAGCCAATCCTCTGAGAAATGTTCTTATCGCAGGACAATAATTTAGACATGAAAGTCGCTGATGGCAGTCTTGATGGAGTATAACAGAGGCTCTTCCACTACATCATTCAGATCGTGGATACGGCTCGGCTACTTAATTCAATCAATTATTCTCTGGAACCCTGTTATCACATTACTGAAGCTCTTTCTTTGTATGCATTGATTCCGAATCATGGTCTCTTTGATTTTACAATATAAATTGTTTTCCATTTTTTTCCCATTTCAAGAAAAATCCACCTGGCGTGAGCTAAAAGAATTCAGATTCCTCTTCATTCTAAAATGTGATACCGCATCTGTATAACCCATATTCTTTATGTGTTTCAGGCAGAAAGTCCTGGCACCCTAACATATCACTGCCATATCACGATAGCTTCTATTGTACCTTTTTTCTACGTGTGTAGTAGAGTATGGTTGCAGCTTTACATTCTCAGTCGCAATTTACTCGTCACCAACTTCCCTCACTACTACTGGGCAGTAGATTCCAATTCTTCCCACTTTGAGGGCATACATTTCCCTCTAGATGTCTCTGGATAAAGTATGTTCCTTCTCATCCAGGTTGTATCGCAATTCCCTTCTTGCCTGTTCAATCAACTTCTGATAAGTCGAACCCAGGGCATTGATGTTCATTTGAGCGTAACCCCATAGACCACATATTTCTAAAGCAGAGATCATTTTAAGAATGGTTAAAGACTTTGTTTTTTATTTTCTATCTTATAGTCAAGCTTAGCTGCTGTTTGATAATGTGAAATTAACTTAAATTAGTATCTTTCTTAAGTATAGTCCCGTAGATGCGTTTTTTTTGCTTGAGGTATCCTGATTTGATCTTACTACGAAGGATTTAATGGAAGACTAATATAATATCTCAATCTAATTTACTATTAAATAATATATGATGCATATAATGTATAATATTTTTCCCCTACTATATGAGATATATTCACTCTATTTCGTTAAGGTGATGAAGGTCTGCTAGTTGAAGTTACTAATAATCATATGAGTAAACCTTATTTTTTCATTAACTTTCGCATAGCTCTGTTTGTCAAAAGCTTTACTATGCGAGGTCGAAACTGCAGTCCACCCTAGATAAGAACATTTTTTGGGAAAGCAAAGCTATGTAACTTCAATGGAAAACATCAGCTCTACTCATCTCATTATGGGAAAATTCAACTACCAGTCCTTCATTACCTTAAACGCACTAAGGTCAAAACAACTGATATATCTGATTTACTGGTAGTCTCTAAAACTTACTCACTCACTCACGAAAAAAGCTTTTTTTAAGCAAGGCCAAATGATCTTCACGGGTATCATTTTGGCAAAACTCTACTATTTGTCCTTAAATCATTTTATGCGATCTTGGCCGATAGGACACCTTTTTACCTCATCTTTTTTCTCTCACCCCATTGCAGAGCCTCTTGATCTGAACGATATATCATCGGCCAAGTTGAAAAGCCGTCCGATTGTGCCTGCTCGGGATCCCCACGATCAAGCCGCCCCCAGAATGCTCCCGAAGGTCAAAATTGTCCACGATCCCAGTTGAATGCCTTATCTGTGTCCGGCGTAATCTCAAGTCTTTCAAGTTATATTTTTGACCTTACAACTTTACTCGGCGCGTTTTCCAGCCTAAATTCCTACATTTTCTATCTGCAATCACCTTTAGCGCCTTAGTTTGCATGCATTGCCCACTTAACGGAATTTGCATACTTTTTGTGATTCTTTTTTCACCAATTACTACAGCCCATCGAACTTTACTCTTAATCGACTATATGGTGCGATTGCTCTTAGCACGTTGAA